CGACCAAGTCACAAAACGGCTTTTTATCAAATTTCAACAATTTATCATCAAGTTTTAAAACAATTCATGTTGGTATAGTTCGGAAATTAAAAAAAAAAAAAAAAAAAAATCACCGAATAGCCGTTCGCGACAGGGGCGAATTTAAGGGGGGGAGTTGGGGGGTTTAAATTCCCCCTTGGGCTGGCCAAAAAAAAAAGGATTTTTTTTTTTTGGTGCTTTTTACCCCCCCCCCCCCCCGTAATATTGGTCGGCACTTTTTTCAAATGAAAAAACAAAAAAATTAGTGCCCAAGAATTTAGAGTTGAATAATTTAATAAAATTTCGAAGCTTTCGCGCATTGGGGGGGGGGGGGGTGAATGCAGACAATGATTAAGACTCGAAAACGGTACAACGAAGCGTCTTCTTTCTATAATAATCTAATGAAACGTCAAAGTATCCGCGCTTCGCACGGGAGGGGGAGACTGAATTCAGACAAGGATTAAGAGTAGAACGGTACCACGAATCGTCTTCTTTCTCTATAATAGTTTAATGAAACGTCTTAATCCAAGTCTGAATTCATCTGGCCCCCACCCGCGCGAAAGCTTTGACTTTTCACTACATTATTAGAGAAAGAAGAAAGGAGAAAGATTCGTTGTACTATTTTCGGGAGGGGGCCAGCTGAATTCAGACTAGGATTAAGAGTCAGGAACGGTTTAACGAATCGTCTTCTTTCTCTAATAATTTAATGAAGCGTCAAAGCTCCGCGCGGGAGGGGGCCACTAAATTCCAACTAGGATTGAGAGTGGAGAACGGTATAACGAATCGTCTTCTATCTATAATAATGTAATGAAACGTGAACGCTTCTGCGCTTTGCGCGGGAGGGAGGGGAACTGAATTTCAGAAAAGGATTAAGAGTCGAAAACAGTACAACGAATCGTCTTCTTTCTATCATAATTTAGTGAAACGTCAAAGCTTTCGCGCTTCGCGCGGGAGGGGAAAACTTAAATTTAATTTAGCTCCTGGCCCCGGGTTTATGGGGTTAAATTTGTAGACATCGGGACATTGGCATTAATATATTTGTCTGAAATTGGTGGCTAGTTTTGTCGGTAATTGATGGCCTCTACACCCCCCCCCCTTGAAAAAGGTCTGTCGACGCCCTTGGAATAAGCTAGATATGACTCCATCTCTTAAAAACTCCTTGCTAGAGTACCATCCCAGCATCGTCCAATGAACTGTTCAATGATCTAATTGCATGCATTCCCTTTGTGGATGACAAAAGAATGGTGTCTATTAGAGAGGTGTCGATATAAAGAGGCTTTTGAACTTCGAAATAGTTCAGACTAGCCCTGAAAAAAGGAAAGCTTATCTCAACCTAAACCTGTTTCTAAACATGGCTAAATACCAACAGATTAATAATACAACGCCAAAGAAACCTCGACAAAAGGCTCTGATGCGAGACCACTTCCCGCTCATTCCCGCTTTTGCTATCACTGAGTAAGTACACATGCAGTTTCAACTCTTGTATTTTGGTGGAAAATCGTTGACTGTCATCTTGTTGTACCTGTTTAGCCATAATCATTTTAACGATATGGATTTGTTGTACCAAAACTACAGATTGCTGTATAGTGTGCCTATATTTTTGAATTGCCACGTTCATGATGTTTATTTAGCACTATACTTCTTTGATTACCAATACATTATATACGGACAGCAGTCGTCATAGCTTTTTGGGAGGGACAAACTCAAGATTGAAGATATTACTTATTTGTCTATGTTTGCCTATCCAACTGCATGTTTTATTTATAATCATTTATTGAGAAAAAAGATGTATAGCCCAACTGATGAGCGCCAATCTATTAATGTTCCTCTTCCCTTTTTTTTTGTCGGGTCACTTTAATTTACTGGCCATTCGATAGCCTCACAATAATCACCTATTCACTTGTCTTCTCGGCCTCCTTAGTAACACTTAGACCTACATAATCCAAATCAATTAAACATTTTCTTGTCGAAACGTTAGTTCTATCAAGTTTAATTTTAAATTGAAACATAGAAAGGAAACATCAGATGAACTTTGCGCTACAACCATTATTTTGTTTTTAAATGATGAGCACTGGTATGTTTTATATGAAGCCAAGTGATGTCGTTCCGATGAATGGCACAGTCATGTTTCTCCTTCGTTGTTATCCGACATATTTTTATTTTTATTTGTTAGAGCTTATGTAGCAATTTTAAGATGTTTTTAAAACGAGTTATCTTTAATACCCACTGAATTGTGTATCATTTTAAATATTGCCACATAAATTATATTTGAGACATGATACAGTTTTGGGAATGTCTTGCATCTTAAATTTGTTGCACCCCAGTAGTGAGCATTAATTTTGGGAGGTGTTTTTGCTCAACGGAAATTTGAAAATCGCGCATATCGTTATTTTCGCTCAACGGGGAAGGGAGGGTGGGCTTGTGGGGAACGAACACAATATTTTTATCAACGGAATGTCTAAAATCGCTTTCCGCTTTTTTTTTCAACACAAACATCCCCCCTTCCCACTATCGGCGCTCCACCCTCCCCCCCCCCCCCCCCACTTCCGGCGCTCTACCCCCCCCCCTTGAGCGATTAAAAAGAAGGTAAATTTGCGGTTGTAATTTTTTTTTCAAGCTTTTTTTTAATAGGGGGGGGGATCCGCGCCTGCATGTACCAGACAAGATAAATTTACTTCATGAATCGACAAACATACCGACAACCAGGGGCGTACGCAGGGGGAGGGTTTTGGGGGTTCAACCCCCCCCCCCCTTGGTATTTTTATGTATGTAAACCCCCTTAAAAAAACCTAAACCCCCCCCCCACACACACACAGCACAAAAAACATACACTGTTCTTCTCTATTTTATTTTATTTTTATGTTTTTTATTTATTTTCCACATATGGGAAGGATCACCTTTTTCAGCTAAAAGCTGGCCTTCAAAGGGGTCCATCCACAAGATAAAATTACAAATTGTTGATAAAATACATTTGAAATATGATTACAATGATAAACAAGCATGTGTGGGCAGAATAATTTCTCTGATCTTCACGATTAGTATTGCGATCGAATTCGCAGTAATTCTTGCTATTTTCAGAATAATCGCGATAATTTGCCGGGCGCTGTGTGTGTGAATGGTAATGAGAATCAAAAGTCGATTTATTTAATCCCAGGATTCCAAGCGCGCATAGAAGGTCGCGATTCATGCATGTGCATTTCCTGTGTGTAAATGGTCGCCCCCCCCCCAAAAAAAAAAAAAAAAAATCGCACTAAATTGACATGTGTGTACGGTCTCAAAAACAAATCGATCTTTGCATCGCGATCCAAATCGCACTTTTACTTATGTGTGAACGGGCCTAATGTGTAGTGTCAACAAAATTAACGAATTGATATTGCACGAAACTGGATACATTTTCATGTTATGTTTTCGCCATTGTCTTCACCAAATAACCCCCCTCACTTATGTCATAAAGAAGAAACATAGGTTGATTATTCTAAGACTTCTCAGTTCCCCTATTACACAAAACAATAACATACATAATAATCATATACAGTAGGCTTGCGGATGCACCATGTGAGAGAGAGGGAGGATTGAGGAGTCCTGAAAAGGACTCTCGGTAATCTTTCTTGAGGGTGTGTATTCCTGAATACACACTCATGCAAACCCAATTGATGAAACTTTTATTGATTATCCATTATACTCTTCTGTTTCCCATACAGATTTACCTTGAGATTATTTTGAGATCATTTGACTTCGATTTTCGACTTGGTAAGTAAATACATTATTGCTTATGAAAAGAAAAGAAAAATGAAAACACTGATAATAATGGACTATTTTCGCACAGCTACACGTGCTCAAACGACCACCATGCTCCATGTTTTACGAACTCATGATTATTGTTATGGCCGAGTACTTTATGAAATCAGGAGTGCCTTGCCTTTTTATTTTTTTTTAATTATTGCAAGATATAAGAGTCACTTAGTAGTTTCCCTAGTAAAGTCAGTAATTTCTAACTTATTTGTTACACTAAAATAAGGGAAATCTGCAAGAGCTTTTGAATACAATACGAATAAAAATACATATAAAATGTGTACATCAGGTACTTCTACCTTCTATCTTAAATCTGATAGATTTTATTGCAAATGATTCATCATTACTCGTGTCATTATGCATAGGAGGCTTAATTCCAAGAAGGATGAGGGGTGAAAACTACAAACGATATATATGGGCTATGAATTGGGTTTAAATTTCACACTTTTTGTACAAAAAGTAAAAATAAATAAATAAACAAATTACGAGACTTATTAATAGTTTAGGTTAGTATCAACAATTTTATGATTAGGGTGCATAAAGTGACATGCAACACATGCCCGGAGGCATGTGCCCCTCTCAGTACTCTCTCTACATTAAATATTCATGAACATACAGTAAACTTAATTATTCGTACGCCTTTTAAATTAATGTTTTTGTAGCTTAAGGATGAAACGTACACTGGTCAGAATAAGGAACATTGTTAATACTCTTAGATATGAGCTTTAATATGCCGCATTCTCAAAACAAAAACAAAATCGAGACAAATAAAATGTTCACATTCTTAAAAAGATACAAAACTAGGTAAGGATATGAATAATTTAGTAGTTAACTGTTAGTGAGCATTAACAAATAACTGAACAGAAATAATTGAATTTAAAATATGTAGTCAAAATGTAAACATTATCTATGTATTGAGGAACAAATAACATCACAAGTCAATTAGCAAATATGAATTTACGAAAAAAAAATGTGAAAGGGGCTATTAGAATAACTATATGCAAAACTTACTAGTCTAAGAACAAATGATGCAGTTATTATCGTATAAAAACAATACAGGCCTAATGGAATTGATTAATTATCTTCTTATTTGTTCTACTTCTTAACAGCTATCATCATGAACCAAAACCATCCTGACCATGAGGCAAACCTACATGAGGGCCCGTATGAATTAGTCCCTCATCGATGTGTGTAGGACCCAGGCGGCGGGGGCTCCTCGCTGCAAACGGAAAACCCGCCACCTGTCCAGGGTTTGCTGGCAGCATAGAGAGCAGTTTACTGAGGATGAGTGAGTACTCAAATTATCAATTCAACAATAGCCACAATACAATAATTTATAATTCTCATACACAAACATTAACAAGTATAACATAAGAGTATACGAACCAACAATGTTTGCAAATTTCGTAATACAAATGTACCAATATATGTAAGAGTATTAACGGTAATAAGAAAAGTCAGTCCTTGAAATGAAAGAGATGTCATATGATCAGAAAGTGGGAGTTGATTAACCTTGATGATTAATCTTTGCCATCTAGTTAGGTAGCAATGTTTTTGCCTCTTGTACTAAAAATTACATTTTCACAAAATGTAATGAAAACTCGATCTAAAATGTGTAGGGGTAACTTCATCAAGAAATGATGAGACAGAATGAAAGTTGTATGTCATGAGATGCATATGTGATTAGCATGTGCCGATTGTGTAATGATGCTATTGATTATTGTGGTAACTTTGCAATGTTTGACATATGCCAGGTCTTACAAAAACAATTATAACTTCCTCCATCAATGGATGACTGAAAATTCTAGACAAAACTACAACATCTATAAAACTGTACTATAAGACCCACTTATCATCCCGCTGCCTACTGAATTGTTTAATTCATAAATAGACTTGATACATGAGTGAGTTTGAGTTTGAATTCATTTTATTTATACACGGTAAGAGCCTAAAGCAGTTCAAAGACTGGTTTAAATCAGGGCCGGGTTGATGAAAAGCAACAAAATCATGACATATACAAAAAAGTAATATAACACTGACAAATTTACAAATTCATATTCATTCAAATTCAAATTTTATTGGTCCAAAAGGAAATTTGTTCCGTTTATATGCATTATTCACAGAGAAAAATAAATAAACATATAGCACTTTAAAATTCTCATTATATAGATATTTCTCTGAATTTACATTATTGACAATATTTGTTCCTATATCCAGAGTAATTACTTTAGCAATATAACATTGTAATTAGTATTACTTTTATCATTATCAATATTAACAGTATTGTTTGTATTTGTATTGTTATTATAAGTTTGACTCATTATATCGTTATGATAATAAAATATATATAGCCAAACAATAAACCACAAACAGTTCAACAATCAAAAAGATTTATCATAATTATTGTCTACATGGTGAAAAAATAACCATGTATATATCCTAGTAAGTTACAAATAATGTTCATAACTTCTGCGGGAATGCAATACCCTATTCTGAACGTATTGTATAAAGCAAAAGAAGCTAATGTGATTAATTGATGATAAGCATTAAGAGTATAAATATGTAAAGTAGACACAACAATATATAGAAAATAAGCTAAAAAACGTGAGTGATTAAAACTATATTTATAGAACATGAAAATCTGTTGGTATACATAGTAGAAACAAAATGAAATACAAAAACAAAATCAAAAACCAACAAACGAGCATAAGTATGTTTATCTTAAATATCAAATAATTGTTTCAAAAAATAAGTCAAATATTACACATATTTTACGATAGGACAAATGTATATTCTACATCGTCAAGCAGTAAACTAAAGTATGGGGTAATAATATACAGTTAATGACATATTAATATGGATAAGTTAAATATTACATAAATAAAACTTTAACAAAGAAAAAACATCCGGTCCCAGGGGTCAATGGGTTATTACACCTACATGTTCTTGAATATTGGTGGCTCATATAAAGCTCATTAATAGCATATAGAAAGTGATCGGGATGTTTTGATTTATAAGAAAAATTACTTAAGTTGTGGTTCACATATTTCTCATGAAGAGAGTTGTTCAGCTTAGGCCTAGATATTGAAATTATCAGCTCAAAAACTTAATGATCAGTTCAATCATTCCACTGATACGGAATATTGGCTGCAAATGCACTATCACCTCGTGTGTTTTCTTTTTTGTACACTATTTCGATTTTAGGAGCAGAGTGTCAATTATTCCTTGATGCATGAGATACAAGTTCACATAAACTCAATAAGCAAATAAGAGAAATTAATTACCAAAGCAGTCACTATAAAATGAACACATACCAAACAACCAAAACTATTCAATGAATGATGAAAGGGTACTTGGTTTTTTAAAGTCCCATGTGTTCCATTTACTAAAAGCATACTTTTTGCATACCGAAAGGTATACTATCATAATAATGTACATTCTCATTTAAATTTTGTATTTTTATATTTCATGTTATCATTTTGTGAACAAAGTACCGAAATACTTTAATCATCCATTTGTCCCGATTGTGCGAGCATTTGTAAGTGTACTTACTATATCTTACATGTATCTTAATCATATTAGGATAGGAGGATGGTGCTGAGGAGGCCAAGAAGATGCCAAGCATTAACGATCAGGGGGCCGCAGTGCAGTCGCGACGCTAAACGTCGATTCGTCTTGCACTACTGCAAGCAGCATTGTAAGTATATGGCAAAAATGGAAATAGAATCATTGCGAATATTAAAGTGCATTTTGCACAACTTCAATATATTTTGATGATCTCCTTATTTATGCAATGGTATGCACTTCTTGACATTTTAAGCACACGTAGCTGAGGAATGATAGATAACTACAAAGGACAACAAATGGCTTCACTCAATGGGAAATGAAAAGAGAATGTTATCGCAATAGGTAAATGAACAGGGAGAGAAGAACAAGAAAAGAGAATACAAAAGGATGAGCCTCAATATATACTTACAATGAAACATTTATGTATGTAGTGTAAATTAAACAAAATTTTCAACTAATCCTTATTAAAAAAACACTGACAAGGATCACAACAACATACATGTAATTATCAGATGATCATGTTTGTCACGTTACTGAAGAAACTTGAGTGATATTACGCTATAGGGAAAATAAAAGAACTGAAAGGGGGGATCAGAGAAATAATCGGAAGAGAAGAATGAGAAGAAAGATTTGGTATTAAAAGGATAGAAGAAAAAGAGGAAAGGAGATAAAAAAAAGGAAATGGAAAAGAGAAAATAGGACAAAGAGCAAGAGAAGAGACGAGCGTAATTAAGGATAAGGGAAAGAAAAGTCTTATACACATACATGTATATCATTAATTCAGTTTATGAATATTAATCCAGGAGCTTCTTATTGGTCCACATATCGGTCATAATTAGTTTGAAATTATTTTATTTGAATGTCCCAATAAGCATAGATTGTGGACGAATACTATTGTATACTTAGAAAGACAGAAGTACTCCTGGAGTGATTGCGTAGAATGGAAAATGGAAATGATATGGTTCACATTAATGTGTTCTATCCCCATTGCCCAATGTTCAGTTGGAAAGGACACGTGACGAAACATATGTATGACTTATTTGATCAGGTTAATCCTTGATGAAATTTTAAAACTGAATTACATCTAAATGTACCTATAATGTAAACATAAATGCCTTTGTGAAGCGCCTCGATATGAAGATTTCATTCACTTGTTATGAATAAATGTAGCTGAATAGTCAGAATTCAATTGCATACATTAGATGTTGCTAGATAGGACAAACATTTTGCCTTACCTTACCTAAAAACACGTAATATATGCAATTTACATTCTGACTACTGAAATACAATTATTCATAGCAGTTGAATGAAAGAATTCGCATCGAGACACGCAAGTATAATTTGGCTACATTACGAAAATGGCCTATTGCAATAGACATTAACGATGTACAAAACTGATTTTAATGACTTATATTTTGCGAAATCTTACATTCCTATAATTTATATGCTGAAAATTGTGATAATGGACTAATTAATAGTTCAAATATATAGCAATTATATGTCCAGAGGTCTGTAAACTCTACATTTGTATTAGGGAAATTCAAATGCAGTCCTACATTTTTCAAAAAGGATTTGTAGACAGCTATATGGAATTGACTTCGAAAAATTAAAACTGTATTTTCCACTGCCCATTTCAAAGGTGGTACTTTCCAAAGCTACACCATAGCCTTAAAGCCATCTGCCAATGCATCATTTCAAGCTTGTATATACCAGTAACCCATATATAGCATTAAATCACTTTTGCATTACTTTTTTGTGTTTCATAATGATTATTGCTCAATCTAAACACCCCAAGGGTTTTAATTGTTAAAAATATTGTTTTTGTAGTATTTGTAAAAATATCGAGGGGTCAGTGACACTAAGACGTAACTCCATTTTTTAGAAAAAGTGGTTTAAAAATAGTGCTTGGGCCCACTAGCCATTGACTTCAATGGGGATGTTGAGTAGAGTTAAGTCTTTGTGTTTCCTGGCAAGCCTACCCTTTTCTGAACATTTTGATATCAAATACTCATTTTGGCAAAATATGGAGTTACGTCTTTGAGTCACTGAACCCTCGATATGTATTTAATTTCTCTTCTGCATTCTAAGTTTATAATAATATTGTTTACATCCCTTTGTATAGATGTATTATTCTAGTTGTATCCTTCAGCCTGTGCTGCATGCTGGTCAGTTTTTTTAAACAAATACAAACAAATAATAAATAATAATCCATTTCCCTACAAAATAGATGATTAGCACAAAATATATTAACTGCTTACATTTTCTGTCATATCCTTTATTTCACAGTCAAAATCCACGCTGGTCCGGACGCTATGGACGTGTCCGACTCTAAGGACCAGTAAGTTGACTCAATCAACACTCTGAGAAATAGATATACACTGTATGAAACCGTGATATATCTTAAGTTTTAATACTAATAGTAATGAGCACGGATTGCCAAGGGTATTGATTTATATTTACTTAGGAAATCTACATACAACTAAAATAACACTGTGTATTTAAAGGTAATTTGGAGCTTAATTTTAGGTTGTGAAGGGATTTGACTTAGGAATTATCTTATGATTTTTTTTTTGCCACGATCATAAAGATCTTATAGAAATCCTGTGGTGATTATTCTTTGATAATGATGCCATCTATGAACTTTGATGTTGCCATTTTCAATACTAAACATTCATGATTTGTTCTCAATATGTTCAGAAATGTTTTTGTGGTCATTTAGACCTACTGATAAACAATTAATTTACTTCAATAATAAGAATAATTACAGTGCTTATATAGCGCCTAACACTTACTTTGTCAGAAGTCTCTAAGCGCTCTACAATAATGCAGCATAATTACCCTGGCTTTAGCAGTAATCATGTGAAATGTTAAAGACTACAAATATCGTCGAGAAACAAAATCCATTTGACTAGATAAACAGAAATAATATTGTTTTAAATAAAATATTTTGTTCTTTTCTCTTCAAGGCAAACGTAAAATGAGAGCAATTCAAGTACGACGACATCAATTCATCTACAACCTTCTAAACAAGAATGCCCGCCTTTCCTACAGGTACGACTATTATTTTTCAAACAGCCCATGATCTTGTTTATTTTCATAGTACTGTGTAACAATTACTATTATATGTCCTTGTACTTGAATTGCTCTTTTTTTACGTGGATCTTGAAATGTTGCTTCCCATGGCAAGAGGTTCGTTGTTGACAAAGTAAATGTATAGATGGTTGATATGGAATTCCACAATACCACTTCCTTGTTCCGCCATGCCACGTTCTTTTCCCCCAATGCCACATTCTTTTCCTCCAATGCCACGTTCTTTTCCCCCAATGCCACGTTCTTTTCGCCCAATGCCACGTTCTTGCTCCCCAATGCCACGTTCTTTTCCCCCAATGCCACGTTGCTCACCAATGCCACGTTCTTGCTTCCCAATGCCACTTCCTTGCTTCCCAATGCCACTTCCTTGCTCCCCTATCCCACGTTCTTTTCCCCCAATGCCACGTTCGTTCTTTTCCCCCAATGCCACTTTCTTGCTCCCCAATGCCACATTCTTTTACCCCAATGCCACGTTCTTGCTTCCCAATGCCACTTCCTTGCTCCCCAATGCCACTTCCTTGCTTCCCAATGCCACTTCCTTTCTCCCCAATGCCACGTTCTTGCTCACCAATGCCATGTCCTTGCTCCCCAATGCCACGTTCTTGTTCCTCAATGCCACGTTCTTGTTCCCCAATGCCACGTTCTTTTCCCCCAATGCCACTTCTTTGCTCCCTAATGCCACGTTCTTGCTCCCCGATGCCACTTCCTTGCTCCCCAATGCCACGTTCTTTTCCCCCAATGCCACTTCCTCGCTCCCCAATTCCACTTCCTTGCTCCCCAATGCCACATTCTTTTCCTCCAATGCCACGTTCTTTTCCCCCAATGCCACTTCCTTGCTTCCCAATGCCACTTCCTTGCTCCCCAATGCCACTTCCTTGCTTCCCAATGCCACTTCCTTGCTCCCCAATGTCACGTTCTTTTCCCCCAATGCCACGTTCGTTCTTTTCCCCCAATGCCACGTTCTTGCTTCCTAATGCCACTTCCTTGCTCCCCAATGCCACTTCCTTGCTTCCCAATGCCACTTCCTTGCTCCCCAATGCCACATTCTTGCTCACCAATGCCATGTCCTTGCTCCCCAATGCCACGTTCTTGTTCCCCAATGCCACGTTCTTGTTCCCCAATGCCACGTTCTTTTCCCCCAATGCCACTTCCTTGCTCCCTAATGCCACGTTCTTGCTCCCCGATGCCACTTCTTTGCTCTCCAATGCCACGTTATTGCTCCCCAATGCCACGTTCTTCTCCCCCAATGCCACTTCTTTGCTCTCCAATTCCACTTCCTTGCTCCCCAATGCCACGTTCTTTTTCCCCAATGCCACGTTCTTGCTCCCCAATGCCACGTTCTTGCTCCCCGATGCCACGTTCTTTTCCCCCAATGCCACATCCTTGTTCCACAAACACAAATTACATCCCCACATTATTCACAATCATTCACAATTATACATTTACACATGATGTGACTTCATTGTTTTTTAATGCCACTTGTCTCCCCATATGTATACATGATGTGGCTTCCTTGTTTTTCAATGCCACTTGTCACCTCCTTATATGTATACATAATGTGGCTTCCTTGTTTTTCAATGCCACTTGTCTCCTCCTTATATGTATACATGATATGGCTTCCTTGTTTTTCAATGCCACTTGTCACCTCCTTATATGAATACATGATGTGGCTTTCTTGTTTTTCAATGCCACTTGTCACCTCATTATATGAATACATAATGTGGCTTCCTTGTTTTTCAATGCCACTTGTCACCTCCTTATATGTATACATGATGTGGCTACCTTGTTTTTCAATGTCACTTGTCACCTCCTTATATGTATACATAATGTGGCTTCCTTGTTTTTCAATGCCACTTGTCACCTCCTTATTCCACAAACACATGTTACATGCATCGCCACGTTATTCACAATTATACAAATGATGTGGCTAAAAATTTGGCATTACATGTTGCAAAGTACTTCATTAATCTTCAATGTTCTCGGTTCTAAAGATAAAATTAGTAACAGTTCAGATTCCAGATTCTTATCGTGAATGGTACTGAAATGTGGTTTTGAAGCGAGTGAGCTATAAATCTTGCTACTCCATTTTTCTGACACCACAGACAGACATCTAGTTTTATTATATCAAAACTATGAAAGAAATCAGTGTGCAAAAATCAGAATGATACCCATGTACAACCTATTAAGTCTGGTTCATATATTCTGCATTTAGGGTATTGAAGTATCTATGATCATTTGCAGAGTTGGCTGTTTATACTGATCAAATTGATGGATACGATCATCTTGGAACAATGTAATTTGTTATGAATGTATAATTCTGTTTAAAAAGTGAGTAGTGGAACACAGTTCACTTTTAGATAAAATGATGACGCTGGTCCTGTCCACACCAAATATCAAACTTGATTTAACTCTCTGGCAGCACAGACAGAAACCCAGTCTTATTATATCAAAAAACACGAACAAAATCATTGTGCAAAAATTAGAATGACGCCCATTACCTATTTAATCTGGTCCATATATTCTACACGTAGGGCATTAATGTAACTATCATCATTTACAGAGTTATCATCATCATCAATAAAATATGTTATGAATGTATTAACCATTTAGAAAGTGAGTAGTTGAAGACAGTTCGCTTAAAAATAAAATTATAAGACCTGCGCTGTATTACTTTAAATTGTCAATCATGCCATTTCAAAACCTCATATATTCTTTTCATGACATGGTGCAGCTCGAAATTGTTCTGCAATTCTATTTTTTTTAAATACCGACAACTAAACCAATTAAAACAATGATTACGATAAGCTGGAGTTGGTAAATAACCCTAGCACAGATAATCTCCAAAAAGGCAAATAGAAGGTTGCTATCATGATATCGTTTTGTAGGATAATGTTAAGGGGTAGTACTTTCACTATGAAAATGCACAGATGTAACAGGTATACTGCTACAAATCCAGTCATCAGAACCAAGTATGATCATCTAATAGAAACACAGTTTTAAAAAATGCTACAGGGGGGTGGGCAGGTGTATTTGACCTGGTACATATTAAATCAAATCTTTTGATGTTTTGGTATTGCTGACTAGACTATTCTAAGTTAAGACAAGTATACTTCGAAAATACTACTAAAAAGTTTGTTTTAGTTTGCAAAAATTATAATAATGACCATAACCTATTCAATCTGGTGCATATATTCTTCAATCTGAATGTAGGGCATTGATGTAACTATCATCATTTACAGATTTGGCTTTAATTACTGATCAAATTGATGGATACGATCATCTTGGATCAATGTAATTTGTTATGAATCTATAAATCTGTTTAAAAAGTGAGTAGTGGAACACAGTTCACTTTTAGATAAAATGATGACGCTGGTCCTGTCCACAGCAAATATCAAACTTGATTTAACTTTATGGCAGCACAGACAGAAACCCAGTCTTATTATATCAAAAACCATGAAAGCCATCATTGTGCAAAAATTAGAATAACGCCCATAACCTATTCAATCTAGTCCATATATTCTGCATGTAGGGCATTAATGTAACTATCGTCATTTACAGAGTTGGCTGTTAATACTGATCAAACTGATGGATATGATCATCTTGGATCAATGTAATTTATTTTGAATGTATAATCTTATATAAATCTGTTTAGAAAGTGAGTAGTGGAACACAGTTCACTTCAAAATCAAATTGTATGACTTGGCTGCCCACAACAAATATTTACAAGGAAATTGTCAATCACGGCATTTCAAATCATTCTATATTCTTGTCATGACATGGTGCTTCTCTGATATTCTCTAATTCTAAAAAAAAACATTAAAATGATTTCTTACACTAACAACTAAACCAATTAAAACAATGATAAGCTGGAGTTGGTTAATATCCCTAGCATAGATAATTTCCAAAAAGGCAAATAAAAGGGTTGCTACCATGTTATTATTGTATACCATGTTATTGTTTCATAGGATAATATTAACGGGTGGTACTTTCACTATATCAATGCACAGATGTTACAGGTATACTTCTACGAATTCAAGCTTCTAAACCAAGTATGATCATCGAATAGAAACATAGTAACAATGCTACAGGGGGTGGGCAGGTGCATTCAACCTGGCACATTTTGAATTATATTTTTTGATCTTTTAGTATTGCTGACTAGACAAGTCTAGGTTAAGACAAGTACTGGCCTAGAACTTCCAGAATACTATAAGGTTGCTTTAGTTTGCAAAAAAATACTAAACTAAACTAG